CCAGGGACATTCCCCATGGCTGACCCCAGGGACATTCCCCATGGCTGACCCCAGGGACATTCCCCGCGGCTGTCCCAGCGCTGGCGGCGGCGGTGGCAGGAGAGGAGCCCGTTGTTCGCGGGGTGGGTGGCGAGGGGCAGGGCTGCGCTGTCGGGTGGGACTGGGGGGGTCTCTGGTGCCTTTAGTAGAGCTGGAGCTGCAGCTTCATCCTCAGCGCCTGGCCCAGCTCCCCCGCCAAGTAGTCGAGGTGGTTGCTGGCCTCGAGTTTGTGCAGTTCCCTCCGGCGGGGCAGGGCCACGCTGACGATCTCCAGCAGGTAGGTGCCCGGCAGGATTTTCTTGCGGCCCAGGTGCAGGAAGCTGAGCCCCTCCTTGTGGTGGATGCGGAACAGCCCCTCGTCGTTGCCCTGCGCGATGGCGTAGCGCACGCGGTTCTCCAGCGGCTCCAGGGCCGGCAGCAGCTCCAGGATGTGCTCCTTGTGCGCCAGCTCCGACAGGTTCAGCGTCATGGACAGCGGCGCCTCCACGTCCATGCTGGCCAAGTTCACGGCGTGCTCCTGCCAAGGAAAGGGGGGCAGGTGTCACCCAGGGGGCAGCGGGGACAGTGGGTGTCACCCACGGGCAGACAGCCCGTGGTCAGCAGGCGGGAAGAGACACTTGGGTATGAGAAACCTGCAGTTCTTACAGAAATCTTACAGAGTTCTTATAGGAATCTTATAGAGTTCCTATAGAAACCTTATAGAAATCTTATAGAGTTCTTATAGAAATCTTATAGAGTTCTTATAGAAACCTTATAGAAATCTTATAGAGTTCTTATAGAAATCTTATAGAAATCTTACAGAGTTCTTATAGAAATCTTATAGAGTTCCTATAGAAACCTTATAGAAATCTTATAGAAATCTTATAGAAATCTTATAGAAATCTTATAGACTTCCTATAGAAATCTTATAGACTTCCTATAGAAATCTTATAGAAATCTTACAGAGTTCTTATAGAAATCTTATAGAGTTCCTATAGAAACCTTATGGAAATCTTATACAGTTTTTATAGAAATGCTATACAGTTCTTAGAGAAATCTTATAGAAATCTTATAGAGTTCTTGTAGAAATCTTATAGAGTTCTTATAGAAATCTTATAGAGTTCCTATAGAAACCTTATAGAAATCTTATACAGTTTTTATAGAAATGCTATACAGTTCTTAGAGAAATCTTATAGGGTTCTTATAGAAATCTTATACAGTTCTTATAGAAATACTATACAGGTCTTAGAGAAATTTTTTGAGAAATCTTATACAGCTCTTACAGAAATCTTATATAGTTCTTGTAGAAATCTTATAGTTCTTATAGAAATCTTATACAGTTCTTATAGAAATGCTATACAGTTCTTAGAGAAATCTTATAGAGTTCTTATAGAAACCTTATAGAAATCTTATAGAGTTCTTATAGAAATCTCACATAGTTCTTGTAGAAATCTTATACAGTTCTTAGAGAAATCTTATACAGTTCTTATAAAAATCTTATACAGTTCTTATAGAAACAGTGGTGAAATTAAGACCTGATTGGCCTTTAGGAATCTTTTTTCATGCTATGGGTGACCTATGAGTAGTACACTCTGGAGAACTATATCTATAAACAGATTAACTATATCTATCTATATATTTATATATATCTAACAGAGAACTGTGTCTATAAACAGATTAACTATATCTATCTATATATTTATATATATATCTAACAGAGAATTGTATCTACAAACAGATGAACTATACTATCTATATATATATATCTATATATCTAACAGAGAACTATACCTATAACCATATCTATGTGGTTACAGAGAGAGAGAGATAATAATTGTTGGAATTCTTTAGTCTAAGTTTCTCACAGCTTCCCAGGGTTGTCCTGGGAGAACTATGGCTCTCTCAGTTCAGAGGATATAGAATTACTACATTCAGGGAAGGCTCAGGGGCAGGAAAAGGTGGGTTTGGTTTAGGGAAATTCAGCCCTAAATCAACTTTGGGAAGTGACAGCTTTAGGTTTCTTGGTGTGCTGGTTGTGCCTCTGGCACTGAACTCCCAGCACACAGCTCCCACCCCAGGGAAGATCAGTAACTCAGGACCATTCTCCTTCCAAGCCCTAAAACGACCTCTCCTGCCC